TATATATATATATATATGTATACATACAGTTGAAGTCAGAATTATTAGCCCCCCTGAATTATTAGAGCTCCTGTTTCCCCCCCCACCCCAATTTCTGTTTAACAGAGAGAAGATTGTTTCAACACATTTCTAAACATAATAGTTAACTCATCTCTAATAACTGATTTATTTTATCTTTGTCATGATGACAGTAAATAATATTTGACTAGATATTCTTCAAGACACTTCTATACAGCTTAAAGAGACATTTAAAGGCTTAATTCGGTTAATTAGGTTGACCAGGCAGGTTAGTGTAATTACACAAGTCATTGTATAACGATGGTTTGTTCTGTAGACTATCAGGAAACAAATTAGATTAAAGGGGGTAATAATTTTGTCCTTAAAATGGTGTATAAAAAATGAATAACTGCTTTTATTCTAGCCGAAATAAAACAAATAAGACTTTCTCAAGAAGAAAAAATATTATCAGGCATACTGTGAAAATTTCCTTGCTTAGTTAAAAACCATTTTGGAAATATTTAAAAAAGAAAAAAAAAATTCAAACGGGGGCGAATAATTCTGACTTCAACTGTGTATGTTACTACTGCTATAAATAATAAAGCTAAAACAAAACCTTTAATTTATTTTAATTTATGTCCCTTCAAAACTCAAAAACAAAACAAAACAAAACAAATATGAAGCATCACATGTTAAATCCATGAATAGTGAAGGGACAATTAATTTAAATTCTGGTAAACAAACTTACTCTTATTTTGTTCTGAAAAGCAGCCTAATTTAAAATAAACAAACATTTAACTATTATAAAAAACAGTTAAATCAAATAATTAAAAATAAAATAGCCTATGCAGCAACATTTCAATTGTGGCTAGTTTTAAACAACAAAAACTTATTTTACTATTATTTAGAAAATAAAGAGCAAACAACTTCTGTTTCTATGGTAATTATGTGATCGATTGGTTAACATAGAAATTATTATTTAGTTATTTGCCCTTTATTAGTGTCGCGATTCAAGTTTATCCACAGCACTACACTACAAAAAGGGTTGCATGCAGAAGTGTTGCAAACAATTTATTTGTGTTGAATTTAAACAAACAAATTAGGTTTAATAATGTTCAACTTAATATGTTTGTTTAAATTCAGCCCAAATAAATTGTTTACAACCACTTAACATAAAAAATTTAGTAAATCCAAGGAATCATCTTTGAACAATTGTTTTCAGTGTACACGCGTGCAATTGTCGAACTTGATTCGTTTTGCTGTAAAAAAAAAAAAACTAAACAATAAAAAGACAATTGTAATTGTATTTTCAAAAGGAAACAGATTTCTAGTAACGATTGTTTAAAACTGTAAAATAGTATTGAAGGGAGAGCGCTGGAGAGCCACATAGTTTTGGTCAAAGAGCCACATGTGGTTCCCTACCACTGATCTGGAGACTCTAACAGTATTGAAACATAGAAATTGAACAATCAAATGTAAAATACCAAAGTCATCACTCAATAAACTATTATAAACAATACAAAAAATGCATTTAATAAAAATAATAATAATATCTTCATCCTTTAATTTTTAATTCATAAACTGATCCTGTGATTATTGCGGATACACACATGGCAATATGGATGTTTAAACTATATATTGTTCAGCTCTAATCTGGGAAGTGAAAGAGGTTTGCGCAACTTTGCTGTCAGAATGCGCTTTTCGAAATATGAAGACATTCTGAAACCACTTTAATGAGAAATCGGTGTGTTTGTTTGGCTTTGACCATTTTGACATTGCATATATTCACTGAACATGCCTGTATCCATTTCTCAGTGAATATAGGCATGTAATGTGGTGCATTTAAACAAAACCGATTTATTAAAACAATATTTTAGTCACCATATTGAGAAATTGAAAGATGATACAATTAAATTCAAGCAAAATATTGCAAAAAAAATATATCAACATGCTACAAAATTTCAACTAAATTTTTCATTTTTTTCTCTGATTTCTCCTCTTTTTTTAAATTTATATTAAGTTTTTTTTCTGTAACAAATGTGGCTGTAGTAGTTTTGAACCGTTTTTAGATTAAATATTACTTAATGATATGATTAACATTGTTTAAAGTTTATTTATTATGGAGACAATGACATAAACAATCAGAAATACACATTTGCTGACTTCTGGTCTGAATTGATTGAGTTACGCATCATGGGATATAATGTGCATAAACAGTGATATGCTGCTCAGTTATTATCATGAGGAAATAAGTAATTGATTTAAAGTTTTTTCCCTGATTAGTGAATTTAATTAGGAGAAACTGCTGTAATAAATGTTGTAAATCGCATCTCTTTACAATAAAAGCCTAACCAGTTAAACTCTGCTGCTATTCTGGGATTTCCAGCTGGATTTTGCGGCTGGATTCCTGCGTTATGGATGTGACGTGTGCAGTAAAAACTCAAAATTTAAATTCACAGAGAAAGTATGTTCACATTATATTGAAGCATCTGTTCATATTTTACAAAACAAGAGTTATGGGTCCAGAAAAACGTCATCAGTAAACCCGTTCTGTACTTTCTCTGTACTAAAATTAACATGTGTTATGGATGTGACAGAAAAAGTCTGCGGGTTTACAGTACACAACACACTTTGTACAAACTCTGCAAACCAAATTGCACAAACCAAAACAATTTACATTAACCAATAGAATAAGAGTCGGCTCTCTAAAACAAAAATTGGTTTGATTTTCTCTTTAATATTTTCACATTTATGAGGGAAAAGTGTTGTTATGGATGTGACATCTCGCCGTTATGTATGTGACAGATGTGAAATTGCCACTTGTGTTAGTTTGGTAAATCAAATATAATAGTTTGAAAACACTGACAGATACATTTGAGTATTTCTAAAGCACTGTAAAATACTTGCTTACACAAAACACCCAAAAACAGTTCCTGTATTTGGGTGAGAACTTCATTTTTTTCATGGCAATATATATATATATATATATATATATTATTTCTTAAAGACACATTTTAATGTGTAAAAACAAGTAAAACTCTAGTCGCAAACAATTTCTCTCAACATAATATTTCTTTTTTAATGACATGATTAACAATGTTAAAGGTTTATTTATTATGGAGACAAATCAGAAATATACATTTGCTGGCTTTTGGTCCAAACTGATTGAGTTGCTCTGTTATTATCATGAGGAATTGTGTGATTGTTTTTAGATTTCTTTCCCTGATACGAGAACTTAATTAGGAGAAACTGCTGTAATAAATGTTGTATATTGGATCTTTTTACAGTAAAAAAAAAAGGTTTCAGCATTGATATCGCAATGTGTTCATTCGCAATAGTCACATCGCAAGGTGTTATTTATATGGATTGTTGGTGATTGGATGGATGTTGGCCCGATAGGGCAGCTTTGCTTGAACAGAGGAAAATGAAGACCTATTTAGAATGATTTAAGACCTACAAGACAATATTTCAGTGAAATTTACGACATTTTAAGACTCAAGACCCTGGGAGGATCCTGTTGTTGTTTGCTGATAACCTTTAAACAAAAAAATGTTGTCAAAACTTACAATGTTTTAATGATGACACAAAGAATCGAATGTAAAACCCTTCTCTTTGTGTATAAAGCCCTACATGGTCTTGGCCCTCTACATGGTCTTGGCCCTAACTACACTCCTCCAAGACACTTGCGTTCCGCTGATCAGTTTTTATTAAAAGTTCCAAAGGTCCACCTCAAAAGTAACGGCGAACGTGCTTTTGCCATAGGTGAGGTGCATGGTCCTCACCTCATGAACTCTCCGCCATTAGAACTAAAAAAGGCTTCGTCGCTGCCTATTTTTAAGTCTAAATTAAAGACGCATTTATTTTCTAGATCCTTTGAAGCATAAGTCCATCCCTTTCAGAATGAGGGGGGTGGGGTGTTGGGAATGGGATCAAAATGGTCTTGTTCTCTATCGTGTTTAGTGTAGGTCAACTGTGGTAGCGTCTTTTAATTAGAAAAAAAATGTTTTATTATTATTATTTTGTATTTTTATTTTGCTCTTTTATTGATAATCTTTCTATGTTCCTTCCTATTATGTGTTTATTGCTGTTTTTACTGCGTTTATTGCTGTTTTATGCTCATATCATGTGTTATTTTCTCTCTGTAAAGCACTTTGTTGCAGTTGGAAACGTGCTATTTAAATAAATACAACTTGAACTTAATAAAACTGATATTTAGACATTAGATTGGAACTGTTTTTAGTTCAGATCCACTAGGTTTTAGTCCTAAAATCAGCATAAATCCGCAGAGAATTCTGCGCAGGAAGAGCATATAAATGTCAGCACACTCAAAAGATTAAGTTTGCTCTTTGTTCAAGCTACTTATTTTAAATAAGCTGAAACAACACCATTCTTGAGGGTAATTTCTCAATGGTTTTATGTTCGATCAACTTAAATTAGTGAAAACTAATGAGTTAAGTTAATTCCTTTACGTCGTCCCAACACAAATTGATTGTGTGGAGCCCAGCACTTCTACAGTGCAGACTCAGTCTGGCCCTGCCCGGGAGTAAAGAAAGAGAAGAGGAGGAGGAGGAGGGCATGTTTTGTATGTTTTGGTTCTAACAGCTCCAGTCATGGACAACACAACAAAAACGAGCCCCAGAAAACTGACACACACTTTGGGGCTTTTTAAAAAAAACTGTTGGTTTCTGAATCCAAACCCGCAGCGATTAGCATCGGGAACTTACTTTCGCCCTCGATTTTATCCGTTCCTCTGGTCCAGATAATCTGCCTGGTCTCGAGCTTGACTTGAAACGTCCTCCTCTCGGGTCTCTGGGACTTTTTGGAGTAATAGAGCGTGAGTACGGTGCCCAGCTCCAGATCCCGGTACAGATTGTTCACCTCGGTGTCGCTCAGAGCCCAGGGTACAGGTCCATTGGAGGAGAAGCCCGCGCTCGCAGCCATTTCCCCTGTTTGTTCTTCAGTTCCTCTCAGAAACGCTCACAGGACACCTAGCAAAAACAAGCATCAGAAACACCACATAAAGCAAATGTAAGGCATAAAGGAGAGCTCACACACACACACACACACACACACACATAGAGAGAGGCCTGCTGTACAATACATCCACATGTGTACATTCACACTTCACCTATATGCTAATTTATACTTATATATTTAAAAATACACAGTCATTAGCTGTGATTAATGTATTGATTATGAGAGCATAACGGATTATTAATATTATTATATCACACACAAGAACAGCAGATCTTAATCAAAGCTAATCATTCAATTCTAGTATGTTTAAGTAGATTAAATTGAGTTGATCTGACTTATGATGCGTGATTTGCTTCGATATGACCAACAACGCTTTATTTTGATGAGCAAACAACGAGAGAGAGAAAAAAAATCACAGATTCTGCTTTATTAATAAGAGGTCGTCGTCGCGGTTTTACTCCACAGATGAGAACAGGAAGGCTGTATATGAAGCTACGGAGCAGCGCCTATATTGTTAGCAGAGCTGACGGAGGTGGTGGTGATGATGATAATACTACTAACAGTTACTAATAATAATAAGCCAGGTCTGTTATGTCTCACCGTGTCTGTATGCAGCAGCTCTGTGGACTCGCCGAAAGCAGAAACACACACGCTGACTGTCCGCAATCTCCGCAGGCTCATGTCGTCCGGTGCTCTGCCGTGTTGGCGGATCGGCGCGGTGATCGAGCCGACGGAGAGTTTCTTCTCTCCGCCATGAGCTGCTGAGTGAAGCCCTTCCCCCCACCAGCCGAGCCCTGCAGCCGGGGCAGCAAACGGCCTCTTAAAGACACAGTGCGCACTTTCAGCACTCGCACACTGCCACCTCAAGTGTGTATGGAAGAAAGCACAGCAAAATCCCAGTGTTTGGTGAGTTACTTCAAAACTAGTAATTAATTACTAATTAAGCTAAGATATCTGGTTTGATAACCTTTGATAAAAAAAGTCACGGTTTCACACGGACACTTACACAAGATGTTTGACGCTCATAAGCATTGAAAGATTTTAATATTTAGATTTTTTTTAAACATACAGTATGTCTATTTATATGTATTTACATATGTATGGTATAATATTTGTGTCAAATTACACAAAATTAATGACCACTTGTGTGAGGTGTTTGTCATGCAGTGTCTTCTATGGAGCGGGACAGTACATTTGACGTTGTTCTCTCTTCTGGCTGCCGTTATGACCGTACGTTCACACCGAAAGCGGCGAGAGCATCAAAGTAGCTGGAGGTCATTCATTTTCAATGAGAGCCGGCAGCAAGGAGCAGCGCTGCGCGTCTTCGCCGGCGTGGGCGTCGAGGAGAGTTGAAATCAAGTTAACTTTATGGTAATGAGCTATGACGCGGTTCAGCGGCAAGCAATCAGAATGAAGACGTCCACAGGAGTTCAGAGTTCACAGATCTGTGAACTTTGGTTCCGAGCACAGTTGTTCCCAAGGGTTTGATGATTGCGGTCGCCAGATTTTCAATTATTCACAATGTTTTCTTACACAAACATGCATTAAATAAGTTACTGGCGAGTTACTGATGTGCATTAATGTTATATTTATCTTAAAAAAGCGGGAATCTCACGCGACGTGACAGTACAAAACTGCTTCAGGATATTTCAGACATATGGACACATATTGGATAAATAGAGCAAAGCCACACCACACGCAACTTGATCTTCCATTGTTAAATGAATTTGATAAGAAGTGCGCAACATTTTCACGCTAGAAACATGTTTATGCAGGAATACTGATATGATGCAACGGCTACTTTAAATACGAGATCGATGTAGCGAGTTTTGACGCTCTCGCCGCCGGAGCTGAAGGCAGACAGCGTTGTCGCCAGGACGGCCAGAGCGACCTTGGAGGTTCTCGCCGCTTTCGGTGTGAACGTACGGTAAGTCTCACACAAGCAGCAGCATCCCGCTTTCCCTCATCAAGCTAATAAGGAAGAAACCAAAATGCAATTTATCAAAATTCTGCTAGTCCCGCTAATTTCTATTGAGCCCACAGTTAAAATGGCCGACTTTACAGCAGAAAAAAAGGTGTTTACAGCCTAGTACAAAGAACGATTTTGGTTCATATAGCTAATATTACCCTTCATGACAACTGTGAGGGAGGTGAATTTATTTATAACTCATCTGTTTAGTTTATATTAGGTTATATTAAGTTTGCATAATTAAGGGAGTAGCTACTTGAGCGACAGCTAGGTCTCCCTGGTCGCCCTCACTTTACCTCAGCTGATTCCGGCTGATTAGCTGCTGAGCTCTGCATATACATCATATTTTTGTGTTGTTTTATGTGGCTTTACACAGTCAATTGCCTTTTAAAATAATTTCTAACAATTTTCAGATGATACGGCATGCTGTGTGTGTGACCCCACCAGTCATACACTACCCAACCCGCTCCGAGCTGGTATCAAACCGGCAACCTTCCACATAGGAGACGGCTGCTCTACCAAGGAGGCTATAGACCATGGCCTCTAGCATATGTTGCTAGAGCATCTTTAGAGGTCAGAGGAGTGAGGTTTACCTGCACAGCATGTACTAGCTGGCCTCCGTTACACTCACCCCCTTAGTCACGGCACCAATGTAACCCCGCCGTTCCTACACTACCCAACCCGCTCTGAGCTGGTATCAAACCGGCGACCTTCCGCATGGGAGTCGGGTGCTCTACCAAGACCATGGCCTCTAGCATCTGTCGCTAGAGCATCTCTAGAGGTCAGAGAAGTGAGGTTTACCTGCACAGCATGTACTAGCTGGCCTCCGTTACACTCACCCCCTTAGTCACGGCACCAATGTAACCCCGCCGTTCCTACACTACCCAACCCGCTCTGAGCTGGTATCAAACCGGCGACCTTCCGCATGGGAGTCGGGTGCTCTACCAAGACCATGGCCTCTAGCATCTGTCGCTAGAGCATCTCTAGAGGTCAGAGAAGTGAGGTTTACCTGCACAGCACGTACTTGCTGGCCTTTGTTACATGTGCACTTAATTGTGCTCACAAACCACTCATGTGGGCTCCATTTCCCAGGTGAGTGAAATTATACTTAGACATACCATCACGGATACTACGTCCACATCTTTTACAGTCTGCGGTCTCACACTGTTGTTCTCCTTCTTCAGAAAGTCTTGATAACACCATCATGGAGTTTTTATTTGATCATTTCAGCGAATAGGATTGTAAATAAAGTATTTGTTGTACTCTCCCATTCACGGCGCACTGACTAGTGCCAAATCGTCAACTATGACGACTTCCGCTACTGAGAAACCTCCTAATGTATAGATCGGGAGAGAGTCGTTATAGCACAATGCATTCTGGGTATTTAGAATTTAGATTTATTTTAAGTGTTCACACCAGGGGTGTCGCTAGACCCAATTTACCTGGGCACGCATATTATGTTTATGATTCAATTAGTGAAAATACTATGCACACTTGCTGTATTTGGAATACTAAAACACTGCCTAGTATACTCTGCGGTGTGCAAAGTGTACTACTTGTTATTTTATTAAAAACCATTCAGCAGCAGTCGTCGCCAGTGGTGTAGTGGTTAGTGCGTCGACACATGCACTCCGGTGATAACGGTGACTCAAGTTCACCGAGTTTGTCTCCCGCAAATGCACAGAGACTCCCGGGACTTGACCTCCCGCCCTACTCATAAATCTCTCTGTTCATATAGCCGTATGCCCTGGGGCATAGCGGACATTTCAAAAGTGGGGGGGGCAGTTGAATGAGATCCAAAATTTTACGTTAATTTTATTAATAATAACCTGTTTCTAAATGATCTGTCTCTAAAAGTGAGGGGGACGTATCCCCCCGTCCCTACGCCCCTGCGTATGCCTATTACATTCGGATTTCATCTAAAATATCTTCATAAGATTACAGTTGAACCACTGATGACACCTGGACTCTTTTGACAATGATTCTGGTTCATTTTCTGGACTTCATTCAGTGTCTTGTGACTGTTGCTGTCTATGAAAGATGAGGGAGCTCTCGGATTTCATCTAGAATATCTTCATTTGTGTTCAGAGGATGAATGAAGGACTGTAGTTTGTTTGATTTAGAAACGCTCTTCACAGCTTAGCCTCCTCGTTCGAGTATTTGTCGGACAGAAATAAAGCGTGCTGTGCACTGTGCGCTGGCGAAGTGTGCAGATGTGCAGTGCCCTCAAAGGATGAGGGTTTTCAACCAAAGCCGCAAGTGCAAATCGACACCTTCACGGCACATTCACACGATCAGCAGGGCACAGAGGATGTGGACAGCATGACCTTAAAACCTTCATTCCAGCCTCATGCTCTTAATAAACAAGTGTCTTTTTATTGTCAATAAAAACACTTTAGATTATTGTTCTGCATTCATACAGCCCTCCTGTTTAATTCTAATCCTTTATTTAATTCTATTGAACAAAACAAGGACATTTTTACAGCATCACCCACAGTATTACGAGGTGTCGAACTCAGTTCCTGGAGGCCCTGCAGAGTTTAGTTCCAGCCCTGCTTTAACACACTTAAGCCCTGCTCACACTGTGAGATTTCCGCCAAGATTTGGCCATGACAGTTTTGGGAAATTCTAAAAGATTCCTGAACTCTTAGGCTAATGGTTTAATGGTAATCCTACACTTAATGGTTGTTGAGATCAGGTTTTCCCTCTGTTTCAGGAGATTTCAGACTCTTTCTTGCAGTGTGACAACAGCTATGAGTGTCAAACCAAGAACCAATAGGAACACAGAGTCTGATGACTCAATCAGGGCTGCGTTTCCCAAACAACGACGGAACTCGCGGCTGAACTATCATAGTACGATGCATCGTTTGGGGAAAGAACAATATAGTGACTAGTGTTTCCCAAAACCCCTAGTTTCTTTGTGGCAGATCCATCGCTTGAACCACGTTAGTGTAGCGTAAAACACCCATAATGACACTCTAAACGAGGTGGAGGGACTACTTCTTTAGAGAAGAACCCCATCATTTCTTTGTGCAAATTATATTGTTTTACACGCACACACATTTAAAATAAAATCCTGTAATAGTTTTGGTAAAAACATGCTCTCGCTTTCCATATTAATTGAAATATATGTAAACGGCACATATAGGGCCTGTGTTTCCTTTACTAATATTATTGAGAACATTACATAGTCTATTCCAAAACATCAAATCACTTACAAAAGCTAACACATATTCTAATATCATACATAATTCATATCAATAAATAAATAATGAGGCTGTTTATTATAAAATTAAATTTAATATCAATTAGGAAATTTTAAAAATCCTACTTTAATATTAATAGTAATGATGATGATGATTAAGTAGGATATTGTTTATTTATTCTTAATTTTTTTTTAAAGTCTACTTTTACAATTTGACACAAGCAAAAAATAACCTGCTATAGATTAAAAGCATTAAAGTATGCTGTTTGTTGTTTTCACAAGCTTTGTAGACGTAACAAAAATTCTGCTTTTAAATAATAGGTCACCTATAGCTTTCGTCATGAGGCTGTGTTCAAAATGACATCAATGTTTTGTGCACTGCGAAGAGAGCCCAATTGTAAACATGAAGATCGCTAAAACTGAACTGTAAAAATACTTTAAAGGCAAATCACACCAAAGAGAGATGAGCTTAATGCTTTTATTTTAATAATTCCAACTTTGAAAGTTAGAATGTTCTAAAGGAATAGGGCATAGGGGGGATAAGCGGGAATGGAACACAGCCAGGAACTATGTTTCTAATTACAGCTCCAGAGGTGTAGTTGCAAGTGCACAAGTTTGCGATGCAGTTTGCCAATGTTCGATTAAAGCGACGGATTGGAGAAATGGCAAGTCAACAACTGATGGTTGTTGATGGATTTAGGAAACGCAACCCTGACTGACAACTTCTAACCACCGCAAGAAAATGTCAAAACAGTTTTTTTGTCTGGCATGCTGTAGGCAAAATCACTGCTACTGATTATTTATGTTTGCGGTGAGGAATCATTTCAGAATGCGGGATAGTAAAAGTGTCATGAACATACCCGTCAACATTGGGATGTAAAAATAAGAGGTATGCCCACCATAATAAGGGATGGCCCCCTCATTTAAAAAAAATCCCTAATTGACCAAGTATGTTCATTTGGAGCTGTTTAAATAAAAAAAAGCAGTTAAATGGTCAGTAATATGTTTTATTATTATTATTTACAAAAGAAAAAAAAATAGTATACATTAGCAGCAAATACATTAGCAAACAATTCAGCTTATTACAATTAATAGCTATTATAATGAAATGGAATTAAGCTATTAAATCTCATTAGCCGTTTCTTCACTGTAATTAACACATTCTGATTAAAGAGCAACGAATGAATCGCATTTATTTAGATTTTTTCGTTTGATTATATTAAATAACAGAGGTGTCACTTTAAAAATGCACACATCTAATGTCAACATTATAATGAAAGCATTCTAACTTTTTATGCTCATTTGGGACGAAATTAGCTGTGTTTGAAAAAAATCCACCAAGATCGACATCTTTAGATATTATTATTATAAGTTATGCGTATACGTCTGTTAAAACACGCACCCAAAACCCAGACATATGGTTGGAGGTTGTACAATCGGTAAGGCCAGACCGTCCCTGCACAAAGCCAAGAACAACAAAATCTGCCGTGTCCTGTTTTTGTTTTACAAGCCCGACTTAAAGTGCAAGCGGTTTCACTTTCTCCAGAGAGCTCGCCTCGCATCTATATTTGACATTTTTGAGCCTTGAGTGCTTCTGACATCCAATCCTTTCAGAAATGGACAAAGCGAGAGAGAAGCGCGAAAAAAAAGGAGAAGCCAGAATAAACACCAGCGAATGATGCTTCTGCAACCTGAAGCCTGAAGAAACTGCCATGTTTAGCTATTATCATCACCTTTTGAACTATTATGAACTCGGAATGAGGCTACATGTGCTGCTGAAAATTGAAGACACAGATGAGAGGTTTGTGGGCTAGTTTTTGTGTTGTATTTGAACCTAAATAAGGACTAAATGTATGTTGTGTGTAGCTTTTCTCCAATTTGTTAACATATCAGTCACTGTAAGGGTCTGCATGTGTTCATATGTGCCACATTTATTTATTTATTTTATATAATCGCAGATGTTACAGTAGGCTGTGGAAACGCAAGCTTGAGAAAGGTGACCTGTACCCGACCCATACCATACTGTACTGTACCTTTCAGTGGAAACGGGCCATATGTTGCCGCTGTATCAATGGTTTTGGTGCTGGAGCGCATGACATCAGGTGCTTTTTCTGCAGATTTGGCATATTTTGGCAGATAATACCTTTTGGTATTTCCCAAAAGTTATTTTATTCCAAATTTTAATTCTTCTGTTGTTATTTTTCTGCATTTAAAATGGTTAAATTTTAGAGTAATTAAAAAGCGAACTACATTCTTGATTAATCCGTAAAACAAAATTAGCTCTCATTACACCTTCAAAAAAAACTGAACTTATTTCGACAGGTCATGGGCCATTCGTTCACAAAAACAGACAAAACACGCAGACGTCATACTTAAATAGTCCTCTTGTAGTTTAATATTGACAGACGCTAGTCCATATGGCGATTTGATCAAGTGTACAGACCCACTTCTGATTTATTGACTAAAATCCGTGACATTCTGCTTTCTAGAGCGTTCATTCTGTTGTATAACTAGTGCTGTGCCACATATAAATACTTTCTTTTCATGAGAGACTGGTATACCACAGGAGATACAGATTATAAATGACATAATAATAAAAGAAGGGACGATGCTACAGGATACACAGGAATAATCACTATAATAAAAAGCGGCATGTTCTTTTAGCAAAATACATTTCTTTGCACACGTCAAAAAGCAAAACCAAAATGTACATCCCTGATAGAAACAGTAAAACTAAAATGCAACAATACAGACAAATTCACAGATGGTTGCAATGCCTCGGCATGACATTGGCTCCTCTGATTGTTTACTTTATACAAGTCAGCTAAAAACATCTATTTACATCGTTACTCAATTCACATTTTCATCTCTGTTCATTTCGCTTGATAGTTGCAGCGGTAGCAGTTTTATTTAATTAAACAGATAATTCATAAACTGCTAAACCAAAGAAATCCGAGAACTGAAGTCGTGAAATGAGCTAATCGCAGAAATGACGTGGTGTTCAGCAAGGCTCGGGTGTTCTTATAGTCTGCGTTAAACCAGCACGATCTCAATTCGTAACTTTTTATTCCAACGAACGGCCCGCAAACGGGTTTAATCCGGCCTGTGAGATGATTCATAAGTACAGGTGGGCCATTTATATGGATGCACCTTGATTAAATGGGAATGGTTGGTGATATTAACGTCCTGTTTGTGGCACATTAGTACATGTCACCCAAGCTCATTCTGGAAACGTAGCCCCGCGGACGTTTCTGGAGACCGCGATTTACGTGGCCGGAGGTACGTATGGCTGCATTTCGTTTTTTTTAAGCGAACGCTACAGGGCGGTGTGACGCCGCATCTCTTCGCACTCACCACCTGATGGCTCACCTCCGTGTGGAGGGCTTTCTCACCGCAACCAGTTTGTCAGGTTAGCTCGTCGTGTTACGTAAGGGGAGCGGAGGCCAGGAGATGAGCCGGCCGCGGCGACCGGGTTCGAGTCTGAGGAAGAGCAGTTCCAGGAATCAGGTAAGACAAAAAACAGAATCAAAAAAATAAAGCAAACAAGTTCATAACCGGGCGAGAATGCGGTGTAATCTGAAAACACGGTCAAAATCAGACGAGGGCTTTTCTTTTTTCTGGACGGCTTTTGTAAATCGTTGCTTGGTTTTAGGGAAGGAGGAGAAGGAGGGTGAGTTGGCCGATTGGCCTGCCACCCAGTCAATCGTTCAGTCAGTCAGTCGGACAGACGGTATCTCAACAGCGACCTCCGACGGCTTTATGCGAAAACAGCGCGTGTGCGAACGGCGTTCGCAAGAGGCGTTCGAGACGCAAAAAAGCGCGCACAGCGGCCTCTCGAGGATTCATGAAAAACAAAAACTGCACCAATACGTACCTCTCGGAACATATTTTGCGGCCTCCAGAAATGTCCGCGGGGCTACGTTTCCAGAATGAGTCAGGGTTGAGTATATGTGAGGGGGCAAACTTTTCAAGATGGGTGGTGACCATGGTGGCCATTTTGAAGTCGGCCATTTTGGATCCAACTTGCGTCATGGCGCGACGCATCTTACTCTCAAAGGGAATGAAAGATGACACTCTGATTGGTTTAAAGCAGGTTATACTCAAAACACACCTGTCAGACCATCCGCCGGGGCACAGAGCTTGTTTTTCATCCTTAAAATAGTAAAAGTGGATTCGGACACAACCTTAATGCCTTTTGCAACCAAAACCTTTTGCGGCAGGCGCTTTAGATTTTGAGCCTAGATCATTAAAATAGAGCCCTCAGATGTTAAAACAGCTCGTTCTGCTGCTTGATGTTGCAAACTGATATTCATTCATTCATTTTCTTGTCGGCTTAGTCCCTTTATTAATCCGGGGTCGCCACAGCGGAATGAACCGGCAACTTATACCGCACGTTTTTTTACGCAGCAGATGCCCTTCCAGCCACAACCCATCTCTGGGAAACATCCATACACACATTCACACACACACTCATACACTACGGACAATTTAGCCTACCCAATTCACCTGTACCGCATGTCTTTGGACTGTGGGGGAAACCGGAGCACCCAGAGAAAACCCACGCGAAGGCAGGGAGAACATGCAAACTCCACACAGAAACGCCAACTGAGCCGAGGTTCGAACCAGCGACCTTCTTGCTGAGAGGCGACAGCACTACCTACTGCGCCACTGCTTCGCCCAAACTGATATTGTCTTATTATATTATTCTACTTGTTACGTATAGTCACGAGCACACTTGTTTGTAAAGCAAGTAGTTTGACCGTTTTAGAATAAGGCCAATACTACAGCCGATAAGCCTGTCGCCTTTTATTCTGCGATAACAACCTCCTGCATGTTCTTTATATCTTACTTATCACACGGCTGTTTGGAATACTTAATTCTGATTGGTCAGTTCTAAAATAATCGCAAAAATTTGTCATATTATGATAAATGAATCAACTAAATAGACTACTATTTTCAAATGTAGGCCTGATTAGAGAAGGAAATATTGCATTTGACCTCAGGGTTTGTTTTTTGCAATGTTTGTGCAACGTTTATGAATGAGACCCCTGCTCTGTGTGTTATTTAAGCTGCTAAATCCCCTTCACAAAGTAGCAACAGCAGGAAAAAAAAGGTGATTTAAAACTCAAAGTCCTCATCTGCCATGTCGATAGCCCAGGCGAACTTGTCTCGCTGTGTTTTGCTGTAGATCTTTTCAATCGGGACTCCCCATTTTTTGCACCTGCGAAGAGAAGAAAGCGGTAAACAAGACATCACTGCTGGAGAAAGTCTCTTTCACATGCGCACACTTGGCATGGGTAAAGGTCAAAGAGATATTCTTCCACGCTTTTCCAAAACAAAACCGGCGAGCGGGCCATTGTGTCAATAGGGGAGGCTTTCCAAAAATAAGCCGAGAGGTGGGATGATGACAGTTCACACAGAGGCAGGAGGTTTTCTTAAGGCCTGAAACTCCACTATTTCCCACCCACAGACATTACATGCAGGAGGAAAACCGCCTATTGTTCCCGCATCTGTGTTTTTCCCCTCGTTACTTCGAAGAAAAAGAAGAAACCTGAAAACTAATTTGACACACAAATACTAAAAAGCTGAAGTAATTCAATGGACCCTTTACACAAGACATGCATTAAACGATCATCAGCATCTTAAATCCTTGAAGTTGTTAATATTTAGATTTTTTTTAAACATACGCATAAAAGCTGTGAAATCACATGTACATCAGTATCACAGCCTTTGCTTAATACTTTGTTGATGCACCTTTGGCAGCGATTACAGCCTCAAGTCTTTCTGAATGTGATGCCACAAGCTTGGCACACCTGTCTTTGGGAATTTTTGCCCTCTCAATTTTGTACCTCTCAAGCTCTATCAGGTTGGATGGGAAGTGATGGTGTACAGCCATTTTCAGATCTCTCCAGAGATGCTCGATAGGATTTAGGTCTGGGCTCTGGCTGGGCCACTCAAGATATTCATCGAGTTGTTGTGAAGCCACTCCATTGATATTTTGGCGGTGTGTTTCTCTTACCAAGAGACGGAGATGCGCGGGTCCAGATAGTTGAGTTTAGAAGTGCCCAGAGCGATCTGTTTGTTCTCCTCGCGGTCTGTGGCCTGAACCTCCAGCTTCATAAGCTGTTCAGAAATCCTCTGCACAGCCTTCTTCTTTGTCTCCACAGCCCTCGACGAAGCACACGCACATGTTTATTAGAGATGACACTACTCTGCTCTGATTGGACAGATTGCTCTACCTTGCTCTCATTGGACAGATGGCTCTACTAAGCTCTGATTGGCCAGATTACTGCACTTTGCTCTGATTGGTCAGATAACCTTACTCTGCTCTGATTGGTCAGATGACACTACTCTGCTCTGATTGGACAGATTGCTCTACTTTGATCTGATTGGACAGAATGCTCTACTCTGCTCTGATAAGACAGATGGCTCTACTCTGCTCTGATTGGTCAGATGGCTCTACTCTGCTCTGCTTGATCAGATTACTCTACTTTGCTCTGATTGGTCAGATGGCTCTACTCCACTCTGATTGGTCAGATCACTGCACTTTGCTCTGATTGGTCAGATAACCTTACTCTGCTCTGATTGGTCAGATGCCACTACTCTGCTCTGATTGGACAGATTGCTTTACTTTGCTCTGATTGGACAGATGGCACTACTCTGCTCTGATTGGTCAGATGACACTATTATGCTCTTCTACTATGCTGATTGCTCTTCTTTGCTCTGGTCAACTGGCTCTACTCTGATCTGATTGGTCAGATTTCTCTACTCTGCTCTGATTGGTCAGATGACACTACTCTGCACCAACTGGACAGATGGCTCTATTCTAATCTGACTGGTCAGATGGCTTTACTCTGATTGGTCAGTTTACTGCACTTTGCTCTGATTGGTCAGATAAACTTACTCTGCTCTAATTGGACAGATTGCTCTACTCTGCTTTGATTGGTCAGATGACACTACTCTGCTTCGATTGGACAGATTGCTCTACTCTGATTGGTCAGATGGCTCAACTCTGCTCTGATTGGTTGTCTGATCGGCAACAATCTCAGCTACAAATACTGCATCTGAGAGTCAAAGCAAATGTAGTACACCAGAAGTCACTGAAGACAATAGACTGACATTAAGTAAATATTTCTCAAACCTATGTGGGTTTGTGCTGGACATAAGACTGAGATGACTAACAACTTGTTTCAGAAACTTTTTGGGAGACGTTTTTATAGTGCCTTTGAAACATGTTAGACCCCTAATATGCAAAACACTACAATACAAACTGCATAAAAGGTCATGTCTAAAAACACTTTAATACATATTGAATATGTGTCTAATATTTATATTTTTTTATTTATATAAAAACAGAAGAGTTAAGAATTGACCATAAATAAAAGACTGCTTACTTTTTACTTTTCTCATCATGGAGAGCCTTGGCATCAGCTTTGGCTGCTTTATGCTCCTTCTTAGCAGCAGAAAGCTGCTTCTTTTTCTCGTCTATCTACAGAGTGACGCGACAGCACAAAATACACATTAGAGTTCACACTCAGCTGATGATTGATTATAAAGTGTGTTCGGCATGCTGTCACGGGAGAGAGCCCTGAGCTCATAAGATCCTCGAGCCCGGGGCTCCCTACCATTTGCAAGGCAAGAGGGGAGCTTGAGCTCAAGTAGATCTGCTGTAGTAGATGATAAACAGATAGTGATTGCTCTTATGAGATAACTACTTACTGGGAGCATGTCTACGGTGCCAATTTGGATTAGTCAATTAACTGAAGTTGCATGTTTTTGAAAGGTGGGAGGAAACCGGGGGAAACCCACGTGAGCACGAGGAGAACATGCAAACTCCGCACAGAAATGTCGGCTAGTTTGGTAATGACCAGAACCAAAGACGTTCATGCAAGGCAACAGTGCTAACCACTGGGCCACCCATCTAGGAAAGGAGAAGGAGTAGGGGTGGAAGGGGGGATTCTTCAAAACGAAGATGACTGTGCCCAGCTAGCAAAATTCATGTGGCTCAAATCTGGCCCACATCAGACACTCACATCTGGCCCACATACCGCACGGAATGACAGCAATTGGGCGGTCCGCTCCTGTTTGCCAGATCTGTGCCACAATTAAGCCTTAGCAATATTACATATCAGCCAGAATTCAACCACATGAACCAGAACTGACCCTATTCTGGGCCACAGTTTGCTTTTATTCTGGCCCAGATCTGGCCTATTCCTTCTAATAATGAATTAAACATTGGTAGACATCATTGAATTGTATTATTTCATCACAGGTTCTGCCTCTCTTCATTTTGTTTGCTGTAATGAACAAACTTTTCAAGCAAAGTTCTCAAAAAGTTTCAGCAGCCCAAAAGACAATGTATATTAAGAGGTTCAGGGCTATGAGCCCAACTAAAGCAAACACTTTTCTCCACGATGGTGACTTTAGTCTGTGTGGTCCACATCTGTTTTGAGATAACTGGGCCACATTTGCCATGTCTCCTCTGGGCCGCTTAAGGCTCACAGCCACATTAGCCAAAGCTTACTGTGCTGAATATATGCCAAAAGCGGCCCACATATGTCTTAAGATAACTGGGCCACATTTTCCATGTGCTCTCTGGGCCACTATAGGCTAACAGCTGCATTAGCCAGAGTTTACTGTGCTGAATATTTGCCAAAAGTGGCCCACATATGTTTTAAAATTACTAGGCCACATTTGCCATATTTTCTCTAGGTCACATTAGGCTCACAGCTGCAATAGCCAGAGCTTACAGTGCCAAATATTTGCCAAAAGTGGCCCACATATGTCCTTAAGATAACTGGGCCACATTTGCACCTACACGTGTGAGCCACTTTAGGTTTAGACATAGATTACCCTTTAAATGACTATACCAATATTTTGCCAACTGTGGCCCACATTTGTCCTCTGTCATTTGGGCCAAATTGATCATTTTCCACATGCGCAACATTGGACTCGCATTCAAATCAGATCCAAATCTTTGCCTTAAATGGCCCATATATGAATTTGAATCTTTGCCCCCCCCTTTGCCATTGTACAGGTGGGCCACTTCAGGCTCACATTCATTTAGTCTGGGCCAAAGGAAGACCACCAGTGCAGCATAACTGCCGAAAGTGGCCCACATTCGTATGCTATCTGGGTGGTATGAAATGTAGGTCATTTATAGTGGCTTAGGAGTCATCTGATTGGTGAATCATAAATTGGATAATGCGGGCCAGCCGCAAGCAATCGTAAGCACGTGATCCTCTCAAAATTAGTTTATAAATACACTTCACTTAGATCTCAGTGTACCGATAACAAAGGGGAAAACCTGCACAATTCAGTTTCTTCAGGTCAAATTTAAGACTTTTTCAGACCTCTTTAAGAGCATTATGAATGATCTTTCAGACTCCAGGGCTAAACACTAAAGATTTTTACCTGCCTCATCAAAAAAACTTTAAATCTAGTTATTGCTTAGCCACATATTTTAAATAATGATTCTAAACAAGCAAACTCTAGTTCACTTTTTCAACATAATATTTCTTAAAACCTACAATAAACTAAATATATGCACTACAGTCTGTCTGGCTCAGTGTCCAGGTAGCAAAAAAATACAACCAAAATGTTATTGGATAAGGATAATTAAGCCATATTGTTAAATAGAGTTAAAAATTATATATAATCATATTGGTAAATAGAGTTTGTTAATGTTTTTATTGAGTTGAATGGTTGGTGATTAGCCGGGTGTTGACCTGATTGGGTAGCTTAACATGGACTGAGAAAAATAAAGACCTGTTTAACATGATTAACAAGACCTACAAAGCAATATTTCAGTAAATTTAAGAGTTTTTTTCAGGCATTTAATTTAGTTTTTGAAATTTAAGACATGTTAAGGACACCATGATATGACCCCAGGACACCCTGCACCATGATAACAGTGATTATGAACGCCTCGTGTCTCACCTTTGTCTGCAGGTTCTGCATGGACTTCTCAAAGGTTTTGGGTGGCGCCCTCTGGTGGTTACAGAGAAGAGCCACAGCTCGGTTGGCTCTGTTATAGGAGAGGATCTTCTCAGGGATGTTCTCACCAGCTGTAACATTCAGCGCAAATGGGTTCGAGGTCATTTAAAAACACCAACAAGCTCTCAGGGTTTTCTTAAACAGCGCAGAGACTCACGGCTGGTCAGTTCGTTCAGCTGCTGCTGGAGGGTAATGGACGCGTTGTACGTGCGAAACACTTTGGCCGTCAATCCATCCATCAGCTCCTGGAGATATTTATTCAGAATCGACGTCTAAAGAACAGAGCAGAAGGTTCATATCACGTTAATCATATAAAGCATAACTCATCATGTATGATATACTTGAGCTGCACAGTATATCATTTCAGCATATATACCTATATATTGCAATGTACACATCCACTCTAGTCACATTGCAGTATGTGCAATGTCCAGTCGTAATTATATTTGATCAGGGACAATAGTTTCTCATTGCACACTGTATATCCATCATGCAGTTTTATTGATTATTGATTTTAGATCAATGATTATTAAGCGCTTCAAGAGAGAAAATGATAACCTTTACAGCTGTAGATTAAAAAGATTATTTGTATTTATTAATATGATGAAGATTATTTTATTTTTCAAGCTTTAGTAATATCAGAAAAGCACTGTTTCTTTCATTTGAAATTGCTCTTTTGTATTTATCTGTGATTGTAATTTTCTTATTATTATGTGTTATGAGGAATAATCCTTATAAGCCTAAAATTGTATATTAATCCCCCCCCCCCAAAAAAAAAAGCTATTCAATTTATCTGGTGAAATATATTGCAAAATATATATTGCAGAAAAACAAAATATTAAGACAAAAACTCAAAAAGTATGAGCTCCATATTCTCACTATAGCAGATATTATAAAAACCTGATGTATCTAATACAATAACTACACCATTTGTATACACATTGTTTTATTATATACATTTTAACAAACTGCTTCATTAACAAAAATACAACGTATATATATATATATATATATAGTCGAAGTCAGAATTATTCGCCCCCCTTCGATTTTTTTATTTTATTTATTTATTTATTTTTTATATTTCCCAGATGATGTCGAACAGAGCAAGGAAATTTTCACAGTATGTCTGATAATATTTTTTCTTCTAGAAAAAGCCTTGTTTGTTTTATTTCGGCAAAGATAAAAGCAGTTTTGAATTTTTTAAACACTATTTTAAGGTCAATATTATTAGCCCCTTTAAACAAATTTTTTCGACTGTCTACAGAACAAACCATCGTTATACAATAACTTGCCTAATTACCCTAACCTGCCTTGTTACCCTTATTACCCTAGTTAAGCCTTTAAATGTCACTTTAAGCTGTATAGAAGTGTCTTGAAGAATATCTAGTCTAATATTATTTACTGTCATCATGGCAAAGATCAAATAAATCAGTTATTAGAGATAACTTATTAATACTATTATGTTTAGAAATGTGTTAAAGAAATCTTCTCTCTGTTAAACAGAAATTGGGGAAAAAAATAAACAGGGGGGCTAATAATTCTGACTTCAACTGTATATATTTATATATATATATATATAAGGTTTAAGTAAGATGCACATTTCTGGTGAAGTTCAACTTAAAATGGCTTACATTGAGTCGGTCAAACAGATCATCTTCAGACTGCTTGTTCTCCAGAAACAGCTGAAGGTTTTTAAAGACCTAACAGGACAACAAACAAAATAACATAGTTATTAGTTATCAAAAGTGAAGAACAAATGTGAGCCTGGAGCACAAAACCAGTCATGAGAGTCAACTCTTTTTAGAAACTGAGATCACCTGAAAGCTGAATACATCATATTTCCATTGCCACTGATGTGTTAGGATAAATCAAAATTAGCTATAACTATATGTATAACTATATATCAGAGAATTCACAAAACAAATCTGAATATTTAGGAAATCTCCTTTTTGGGATGACTCGATACCTTAATAATGCATTCAGTATGATGCCAGATTGTAATAGCTTGGTATCAAAACTAAATCATTACCATAAATTTTTCATTCATTCATTTTCTTTTCTGTTTAGTCCCTTTACTAATCTGGGGTCACCACAGAGGAATGAACCGCCAACTTATCCAGCATATGTTTTACACAGCGGATGCCCATCCGGCTGCAACCCAGAACTGGGAAACACCCATACACTCTTGCATTCACACACACACTATAGACAATTTTGACAAACAGTAGTGAACCGCCCTAGAGCCATCATTCCATTCATGTGATCCAGATGTGTCCGGTGTGAGAATGAAAGCAAACTGTGGCCCAGAATAGGGTCAGTTCTGGTTCATGTGGTTGAATTCTGGCTGATATTTAATATTGCTAAGGCTTATTTGTGGCCCAGATCTGGCAAACAGGAGCAGACCGCCTAAGTGCCGTCATTCCATGCGGTGTGTGGGTCGGATGTAAGTGTCTGGTGTGGGCCGGGCATGAATTTTGCTAGCTGGGATATACTTGTGCAACGTAAGACTGGTTTTGTGGTTTGGGGTCACTAATGAAAGCTCCTTCAGGTTTTTCAGGTTCTCTCTTACTCTTTTCTCCACTGGGATTTTGTTGTAGTAGCGGATGGAGTCTTTTCCCAGGAAGTCGAACTCCACCACGTAGTCCTGTCCGTCCAGTTGTGGATGCAGTTTGATGTGCTCCACCCGCAGCGAGCAGCAGCCCACCGTATCTGCCGTCTCCCCCTCGTCCTTCTCATTACCGGCCCTCAGAGCCAACTAAACCAAAACACACACACACAGGAAGATGCTAAAGCTGCGGCCACGCTATAGTTCGTGCATCCGAAAACAAGATGATAAGACATTGATAAAGTTGACAGACATTGACAGATGCTTCAGAACGCAGCAGCACGGGTGGTCTTTATTCAACCTAAAAGAGCACATGTCACTCCGCTGCTCATCCTTTGCACTTCTATTGTCTCCAGCTACTGCACATACAAATTGACTGACTATTATAGAAAGGATCGATACTTCTATTTAAGGATGCATTGCCAGTATCGGAAATAACAATACTTTAGGATCAATCCACCCACCCCCATCTAAAACCCCCTGTTGTACTGCAGAGAGTGTAGTGAGGTGGTGAGTGTGTGATGAAGACAGACCTTGTCGATGAAATACAGCGCGACGGCTCTCTGTCTAATCCTCATCTCTTTGCTTCTCCAGTCCTCCCGGTACTGCGCCCGGATGCGCTCCACACACTTCTTCAGCCGCCGTGCCGTCTCGTACTTTTGCCAGTCCTTCTCTCCCTGAGACACACACCCCCATACACACACATTTACCACCACTGAAAAAAACTTCCCTTTCATGATAAGTTCAACAATTTAACACTTAATAGTCAGCACTTAATAGTAGCGGCGGTGTGTGTTATTGCTAAAATTATATTGATATATTGATAGTGGCGAGGCAGTGGTGCAGTAGGTAGTGCTGTCGCCTCACAGCAAGAAGGTCGCTGGGTTGCTGGCTCGAACCTCGGCTCAGTTGGCATTTCTGTGTGAAGTTTGCATGTTCTCCCTGCCTTCGCGTGGGTTTCCTCCGGGTGCTCCGGTTTCCGGTCCAAAAACATGCGGTACAGGTGAATTGGGTAGGCTAAATTGTCCGTAGTGTATGAGTGTGTGTGTGGATGTTTCCCAGAGATGGCTGGAAGGGCATCCGCTGCGTAAAAACTTGCTGGATAAGTTGGCGGTTCATTCCGCTGTGGCGACCCCGGATTAATAAAGGGACTAAGCCGACAAGAAAATGAATGAATATTGATAAGTTTTTGGGTCGTATTTTTTCCAATAACATTCAATCATTCACTTTATTATTTGGCTTAGTCCCTGATTTATCAGGGGTCACCACAGCAGAATGAACCACTAACCACTAACATGTTTTCTTACGCAGTGGATTTTCAATAACAGTAATTTACAGCAGTACGAATTGCTCAAATCGTGCAAATTTCCATCGAGTTGAAAAATCTGAACTTCAGTGGACATTCGTGCCGTGTTAACCAATCAGGAGCTTGCTCTCGTATGGGCGTGAATATATACGTAGTGCCTGTTGTTGATGTGCCGAGGGTGATGAACTCACAGAGCCGGGTGCACCTCTGAAAGGATGTAGTAGATCAGACACGGCGCCAAACAAATCTACGCTGTTTTCAGCCTTCCTAAAGCACATAAAGCACAGCTACTCTCTCAATAAAATACGTTACGCCCCATTCACACGGGGCGTCAGCGTCAACGCTTCACATTTACTTTGAATTGAAACTCCGAACTGCATTGTGGATGCATCAGCGCCCCTTCAGGGGCTTTGCTCGCTGCAGAAGTTGGGACTAGCTCAACTTTTCAAGCGTCGACGGAAGCGTCAGCCAATCAGATCGGTGTATGCAAATACACCAGCTAGACAGTGGTTAATTGCTGACTGAATTTCATTGGCTGACGCTTCTATGATGATCGCTTCAGCCCCAACTTCAGACACGCCTTCAGACAAGCGTTGACGCTGAAGCACCGTGTGAATGCGGTGTTAGCCGTTTTGCAATGAAAGCTTCAGAAGCCATGACGCGAATCCACATCTATTGTGAAGTGAATTTGATGCAAAAATTAAGCGAATTTGACTTTTTTTTGGAGATTTGTTTGCGCATGCCGTGTCTGGTGTGACCACAGCATAAGAAATTATATGTAAGAGGTTTATATGTGCGGTGACAGATGAAGCACACTTCAGTCTTGCTCTGCTACACACTGCATTACATTGTGAAATAGCACATTTAGTATAGTCTGAGAACAGTGTGTGTTGGTGACCTTGATTCTGGAGCTGGGGTTGAGCATGATGTACTTGATGGAGCCCTGAATGTTCTCCGTCCAGGACACCAGCCAGGTGACTTTATTATCATGACGGACCTCCTTCCACCTGGTGCCCGGCGGCGCTTTGGGCTGAACTGAGTCTCTGAGGACGAAACACATCAACTCCGTCTTGCACACATTTACTTCTCGGAGAAAAGAGATTCGCTGTATGATGAAAAGGAAATCTATAGGGTGTAAAGTCTGCCTCTGTGAAAACAGGATATATGCAGGAATCCTAAAAGTAATTCCAATACCTTTTTAAGACTTTTTAAAGACTTTCTCAGATTACTTTAAGACCTCATCGCCACTTCAAGTTCTAATTAGCCACATGAATTTAGAGACCAAGACCTTAATTAGCTTGTTTAGGTGTGTTTGATTAGGGTTGGAGCTAAAATCTGCAGGACGCCGGCCCTCCAGGTTTGGTGACCACTGCTCTACACCTTGAAAAAAGTAACACAATGCAGAAAGATGAGAGACTCACTTGCTGCAGTTGATGATGATGTCCTCGGGTCGGATGCGGCGCTTCAGTTTGCCCATCTTCGGATGATCCCCGCGGCCTCTAAACAGACCTGGAGGCTCAATCCGGAAGTTTCCGATGCGCTCCCGGTGGTTGTCCATCAGGCAGAAGCCATACTCCTGCAGGATGCGCTCATTCTCTTCTTTGTTTTTCTGTTAAGACATGACACATCTGTGTGTAACACTCTAATAATATAGTTGTGCTTGTTTGGATCTGGATTAAGGCTAATTTATACTTTTAGTACATAGAAAGAGCTTGATTCGCTGGTTCAGGTGTGTCTAATTGGGGTTGAAACTAAACTTTGCAGGACACCAGCCCTCCGAGTGTGGACACCCCTGGTTGAAACTAAACTAAAAAATAATAATTTAATTGAGATTTTCTTTAAATAAGTTGTTATTCCACCTGTTTATAGCATCGTTGCGGACGTTTTACGTCATAACTAAGGTGGTTCAAACAACTGATCTGCGAAAGAGAAACTACAGTTTTGGGAAACACTCCACACCACATCGTTCAACTCTCAAACGACGCATCGTACTATTGTAGTTCAGTCGCGAGTTATGTTGTTGTTTGGGAAACGCATCCCTGATTGGTCAGATTGTATAAACCAAGGGGTTTTCAAACTGTGGGTCGTGACCCACTAGTGGGTCGCACAGTGAACAAAGGTGGGCCGCGCAACGTCACATAGCTGCAGCTATATTTACATTGCGGAGAATCAAAACCAGTACGATTGACGGCAATAACTCAAAAACCTCTTACCCTAAAAATATCTAAAGTGTGTTTCCGACAAAAAGACAAAGCTAGTTGTGTTTCACAGCTGCCTTTTTCTTTCTTTTTTGCGCTCGACATTACATGCACTGCTCCGTTTGAGCTCTCGCAATCTGCGTTTAGCCGGTAGAGCTCGCACTGAGCGGTGCTCTCAGTAAGGGATCGTCGAAAAAGAGCTAATTTTTTATTTTTTTTTTTTTTGCTCTATTCTGCGTGTTTTATTTTAAACACTACTAATTTTCTCTTAAATGAGCACAAACAGTTACTAAAGTAGTCGAATGCTTTATTATAGATCTGTGCATTCTAACATTAACACCTATCAAACAAAACACAATGAGAGATTCATTTGCTGCTCTTTACTAAATAACTATAGTAACTTTAATCAATATGCAAATACAATTAAAAGTGAAATAAATTTTAGAGCTTTATTTAATTTCTGTATAGGCCATTGATTTTATTAGGTTAAACCTTTTATTTTATTGTCAATATTTTCTAATGTTTGCTATGTATTCTATCATTTGAAGCTATTTGTTGTCCCATATTTTTTACATCCCAACGTTGACAGATTGCTAATCAATAAATAGCTATAGTGCTCTCTGTTAGTTTTAACATCAGCTAATGTTATGGAAGGGCATAGATGTTATGGAAATAGTAATAGTAATGTAACTACCCACATCATTCCTTCCTCAAGCAAATGTGTAAATATTAGATCAATTCAGCAATAATGTTAATTGCATTGGCATATTTATCTGACGTTTGTCCAGCTTGTAGTAGTCGATCAAAAGGCTATTTAGTTTCTTATGACTACACTAGCAGTGGAATTTACTGCGATGTGACGGGGCTTGATCAAAAGTTGATCATATTTTTCTTTTTTCAGAAGAGGATTTTTTTCAACAAAAAAAAATGATCAGAGTTACAGCCAGCATCCCACAAAAAGCACTTCGAGCCTCACAAAATCCAAAAAGCCGCACACCACATATTTTTGACTGCTTTGAATGGATAAAATTTTTACCCATTTTTCCATATTAAAATATTATGGTGCGTCTTGAGATTGAATTACTTGCCTAGGTGGGTCCCGGAATAAAAAAGTTTGGAAATCCCTAGTATAAACAACTTATGAATGTAGCACACAAATGCTTAGCACATAAAATGAATTCAATTTATTGCACTTCTCTACAATATGGGTACTGCATATTCACCTTATTCTCTGTGGACGAGCGAGCGCAGCCATTTGAATCATTTTGGTTTGAGACTTCCGCTCTCATTCACTTCCATTCATTTTTAGATGTTAAAACCAGGTCGTTACGCTGCTTGATGTTGCAAACTGATATTTTTCTTATTCTATTATTCTACTTGGTCTGTATAGTCATGCAAACACTTGTTTGTAGAGCAAGTAATTTGACCGTTTTCAACCATTTATTATTCCTAGTCATTTTTCCCATAGGCTACTGAACCGGAAGTTCTAAAACAAGCGCACTTCCACATTGAAGAATAAGGTCAATATTATTATCAGGATGAGGATCATTTCTTGATATAGTGTGCAGGCATAATCTGGACACAGAACTCACCTGTTTCTCCTCTTTTGACATCTGTTTTCTGGCCTCGGATTGTGCTTTAAAGTACTCGTGCATCTGAGTGAAGTCGCATTTCTTCAGCTCCGTGATCTTCGACTTCTCCTCTGACGTCATTTCCTTACAAGAAACGTTTGTGGGAGAACATTTAAACTTTTCTCTATTTTCAAATGCTTTTCCCTTAAATCTGGCAGTCGAGTACAGTAAATTAAGAGCAACAATGATGAAGCAGGCATGGGATGATAACCGTGTCAAGGTATACCGCGGTTTGGAAAAGTCAACGTTTTAAAACCGCCAAAATTTCCTGCTATTCCTTTCCTAAGGTATGCGTAAGATTTTTTTATTTATTTAATATTTGATATATATATTTATTTATTTTTTTGTTTGTTTTTTAGGACAACAGTATCTCCAGCAGAAAAGATATCCAAAGATGTAGGGTTGGGCTGATAGACGATTCCATCGTCCATCGCCGATGGCCAATAGACAACACGATGCTGAGCCGGCATCGCCGATCCTCCGCCCCGCCGCAAACCTGCTTGTGAAAAATACACACTCAGGTGCCATTTACACGAATACGTCTTAGTATTAAAATGCATTTAAGAACGAAAATGATCCACATCCACACCGTGTTTTACCTAGCATCTCTGAACAGCTCTCCGTCCGCTGAAAACGCTCATCACGATACCACACACACACACAGCCACACACACTGTCATGTGCTCTTCTAAGTTCCAGTGAGCAGTGTACGTCGGACAGTTTATCAAAGATGTACCGCTGGATCGTGTGTCACTATAGTTGTTAAACGTGATATTCAGACATCGCAAATCTCCCGGAAGTTTCAGCAGTCTCCCGCAAATGCACAGAGGCTCCGAATGCCCGCAAGCGTGATAATCTCCCTCCCGGTTCTCAAATAAGTCGCGCAACCTTCTCACCCCTCACCACCGGATCCCTCCATCGGCCCAACCCTACATCTTTATATATTTTTTCTGCTGGAGATACTGTTGTCATGAAAAAATAAAAATTAATCAAAATAAAATTAAAATAAATCAAATATTAAATAAATAAAAAATCCTACTCATATCCTAGAAACAGAATAGTAGAACATTTTGGCGGTTTTAAAACTTTGATTTTCCGGATCTCTCATCAGACATCGTATGATGCCAAATTAGTCGACATCGCCCAACTCTACAAAGATGCCATTTTAAATTGTAAAGAAATCTGTGTTTTAAAAAAGACAACAGAAGTCAAAGATTAATTTTTAATAATTTAGCCTGACATGTTACCTGCTCCATAATTTTAATGTTTCTCTACATAAAATATTTTGTGTTCAAAGGGGAAATGTATTTATTTTTTTATATACAGATGAAGTCAGAATTATTAGCCCTCTTTTGATTATTTTTTTTTTTTTTATATTTCCAAAATGATTTTTAACAGAGTAATGAAATTTTCACAGTTTGTCTGATAATATTTTTTCTTCTAGAGAAAGTCTTATTTGTTTTATTTCGGCTAGAATAAAAGCAGTTGTTAATTTAAAAAAATATATTTTTGGGACAATATTATTAGCCCCTTTAAGCTATTTTTTTTTCAATAATGTACAGAATTGTTATACAATAACTTGCCTAATTACCCTAACCTGCCTAGTTCACCTTATTACCCTAGTTAAGCCTTTTAATGTCACTTTAAGCTGTATAGAAGTGTCTTGAAAAATATCTAGTAAAATATTATTTACTGTCATCACAGCAAAGATAAAATAAATCAGTTATTAGAAATGAGTTATTAAAACTATTATGCTTGGAAAAGTGATGAAACAATCTTCCCAGAAAAGAACAGAAATTGGGGAAAAAAATAAACAGGGACGCTAATAATTCAGGGGGGCTAATAATTCTGACTTCAACTGTATATTTTAAAGCAGTAATCACAATACCAAGGTTATCATACCGTCAGAATCTTATACCGGCCCATGCCTATAATGAAGTATCAGTGATTTTAAGACTGCGTTACCTTCCTCCAGTCTTTGAAGAAGTTCTTTCTGAATATTTCATTAGTTGTGTACTCGTGCTCCAGCATTTTTGCATAAAACGTGGCCACTTCCTCCGCAGCGGGGCTCAGTTTCATGGCATTTCCTGAAGGAAAACGAGATGATTGTTTCAACATTTCAATCATACACCATCTCACTATTCATTATGATACTTTATCTTTAAAAAGCCAATATTTATGACTGATTTTCATATATTTTTTTTCCTAACTGACAAAAAATGATGGGTGGCATGGTGGCTCAGCGGTGAGCACTGTTGCCTCACAGCAGGAAGGTTGCTGGTTCGATTCCTGGCTTGGCCAGTTGGCATTTCTGTATGGAGTTTGCATGTTCTTCCAGTGTTAGCAGTTTCCCTTAGTCCAAACACATGTGCTATAGGTGAATTGAATGAAGTAAATTGGCTGTGTAAAACATGGAATAGTCGGCGGTTCATTCCGCTGTTGTGACTGATAAATAAGGGACTAAGCTGAGGTAAAATGACTAATCAGGTAAGCATACTGTACAGATTCACTTCCACATTTTAGATGAATGTAGTTAGGAGTAATTGCACTGGCTGTAATATCGTTGGTCTATCATTTCTGTATAAGCCCATGTAGCATTTGCGAGTGGAACATGATAGTGTACAGGTGGTGGGGTCAAAGGTCAACGCTCCTCACCATCGTAATAAAACTTGATATGGCCTGGCAGGGGTTCATATGGCGGAGGAAACACAGGACCTTTATGCTCCAGAAACCTCCATTTGGAGCCATCTGTGTATCTCTCCTCCTCCCACCTGAGCAACAGAGGAAGAGAAGTCAAGAGCTATAATATAATATATAAGAATATAATAAAATATAATATAATATTAAATAAAATAGGGGGCGACGCAGTGGTGCAGTAGGTAGTGCTGTCGCCTCAAAGCAAGAAGGTCGCTGGTTCGAGCCTCGGCTTAGTTGGCATTACTGTGTGGAGTTTGCATGTTCTCCCTGCGTTCGCGTGGGTTTCCTTCGGGTGCTCTGGTTTCCCCCACAGTCCAAAGACATGCGGTACAGGTGAATTGGGTAGGCTAAATTGTCCGTAGTGTATGAGTGTGTGTGTGGATGTTTCCCAGAGATGGGTTGCTGGTGGAAGGGCATCCGCTGCGTAAAAACTTAGTGGATAAGTTGGCAGTTCATTCCACTGTGGCGACCCCGGATTAATAAAGGGACTAAGCCGACAAGAAAATGGATGAATAATATAATATAATATAATATAATATAATATAATATAATATAATATAATATAATATAATATAATATAATATAATATAATATAATATAAAATAATATAATATAATAATATAATATAAAATAATATAATATAATATAAAATAATATAATATAATATAATAATATAAAATTAAATAATATAAAATAATATATTATAATATAATATAAAATAATATAATGTTATAATATAAAATAATATATTATAATATAATATAATTTAATATAATATAATATAATATAATATAATATAATAAAGTATAATATAGTATAAAATAAAAAAATATAATATTTCATTTCATTTTATTTTCTTGAAGGCTTTCTTGCTCTGCGTTTCACGGAAACCTTTCTGAACGACACCATACCGGACAACATGCTTCACCAACCAGGATATCAATGACAAGGACGTTTCTTAATTCCCCCAACGTATGTAGGGCCATGAAACTCCTGACTGTACTTAACATTTCACTGACATTTAATATTGACATTAAAATAGCAGAGTAATGATAAGGTTAAAGGGACTAAGCCGAAAAGAAAATAAATGAAGGATGATGCTTTGAATGTGTCATTTTCATGTTCAAAGAACTTTAGTCAAATGTGTTGAATTCAATACTGTAACATTCAAATGTGGTGTCTGAAATACTGATCAAATGTGCATTATTTGTTCTTGTACAAGATTTAAGATTTTTAAACGAAGAATTGATAATTTGTAGTTGTTTTTGACAGCAGCACAGGACAACTGCTGAAATAACACCTTAAACAAATTTAATTTCAAACACAATTCAAGCACTTTCAAGGACCGGTGTTTGTTTTGAAGTACATTCCAGGCCTTGAATCCATATGTCTGACATTTAAGTACTTTCAAGAAGTGTGGAAACCCTGGTTTGAGCATGTGAACACAATAAAAGGTGTTTAAAACTCTGCTCAACAGCATTCAAATGTTTTTTTTTTTTTAAAGAAGTCAGTAATGTAGAAAGCACTACCTGCGATGCATATCATGACAACATTTTTAACACTGAATTGATGAAGGAAATTAAAAAGTTTAAAATAGCATAACAGGGGCACTCTTTGTTTATAACAGATTTATCGTGATTATGTCCCACCATTTCCACTTCTCCTCCGGCTGGTTTTTGGCTTTCTTCTTTCCCCCAGTGGTGTCTTTCTTCTCCTCTTTTATCTTCTTCTTTGGTTTCTTTTCCTAGGTCAGTCAGAACAGATGTTACTAACAGCTGTAACCCAAATCGCATACTTATGCACTATTGTACGCAAATTTTTGTAGTATGAATAGTACAAGTAGCGCAAACAAATTCTACAAATTCTAAAAAGAAAGAGTGCACTTTAAAACCCGAATGATGCACTTGCTCAATGCACCGATAAATATCGAACACTTCACGCACTGAACGCTAGCCGTTTTGCTCATAGCAAAGGGGAGTAGCTATTAGGCGCTCATATTGGATTTCTGTATTTATTTTGGATTGTTAAAGACAAATTCTCCTCCACATTATGCCAACTATATAGGTACTATTTGGTAGTTCGGTCATTTATTTTAATTATATGGCAACAGATAAACAGCGTCTGGGAAACTTGAATATTCGCTTAGTAAAAAAAGTTTTGTGTTCCATTTGGGACGACACTAAACTCTACACCACAAGGTTGAGTGTATAAGAGCGTAAGTGTATAGTGCAAGGGTCACCAATCTCGGTCCTGGAGGGCTGCAGGGTTTAGCTCCAACTTGCCTCAACACACCTGTCTGGATGTTTCAAGTATACCTAGTAAGACTTTGATTAGCTTGCTCAGGTGTGTTTGATTAGGGTTGGAGCTAAAATCTGCAGGACACCGGCCCTCCAGGAACAAGTTTGGTAACCACTGGAGTGTCTCAACGCAACTAGAGAGATGGTGTAGTTCTTCAAGAAAATAAGCGATACGTACCACCCTCTCCTCAAAATCACTGTCTTCCTCTTCCTGTTTGCGTTTTTTCACCTTCTTCTCATTCTCTACTTTTACCTTTTTGGGCTTGTGTTCATACCTGCATAACAAACAAAAATCATCACGATTTGACAAACATGCATAAGATACATACGGAGGATCATGGGAATAGGATTGCAAATAGGGTGGAAAATTTCCATGGGATCTTTGTCTTTGGTCAAATCTTTGTGGTTATCAGATGATAGATATGGGCCAGTAGGGGCCTTCTGCACCTACTTGTAGGCTCAGAAGGTTGTTATCATCCATCCACATGGTTATTCAGCTATAGATCAGATACATCTGCAGCCGGAAGTTAAAAAGAATTACCCTCACCAGGGTGCTCGAGGGTAAATGGGAGTATGCCCAACCAGTCCACATGTGTTTTGTGGACTTGGAGAAGGCATTCGACCAAGTCCCTTGTGGCATTCTGTGGAGGGTGATCGGGGAGTATGGGGTCAGAGCCGCTCAGTTAAGGGCCGTCTCTTCCCTGTATGAACAGAGTAGGAGTCTGGTTCACATTGCCAGCAATAAGTCAGAATTGTTTCCAGTGCATGTTGGACTCCGGCAGGGCTGCCCCTTGTCACCAATTCTGTTTATAATTTTTATGGACAGAATTTCAAGGCGCAGCATTGGGGTGGAGAGGGGGCCGATTCGGGGATCACAGGATTTCATCTCTGTTATTCGCAGACGATGTTGTTCTGTTGGCTTCATCAAACATGGACCTTCAGCATGCACTGCATGGCGTATTTTGTTGCCGAGTGCGACGCGGCTTGGATGAGAATCAGCACCTCCAAATCCGAGGCCATGGTGCTCCACTGGAAAAAGGTGGTTTATCATCTCCAGGTTGGGGGAAAGTCCTTACCCCAGGTGAATGAGTTTAAGTATCTCGGGGTTTTGTTCACGAGTGAAGGAGGGATGGAGATTGACAGGTGGATCAGTGCAGCGGCAGCAGTAATATTGCCAATGTACCGGTCTGTTGTGGTGAAGCAGGAGCTGAGCCGAAAGGCAAAGCTTTCGATTTACTGGTCAATCTACGTTCCTAATCTCACCTATGGTCATGAGCTTTAGGTCATGACCGAAAGAACAAGACCTCGGAAACAAGTGGCCGAAATGAGTTTCCTTCGAAGGGTGACAGGGCTCACTCTTATACATAGGGTAAGGATCTCTTACACTCGGGAGGAGCTCGGAGTACGGCCGCTGCTCCTCCACATCGAGAGAAGTCAGCTGAGGTGGCTCAGGCATCTGTTTTGGATGCTTCCTGGACGCCTACCTAGGGAGGTGTTCCAGGCATGTCCCACCAGGAGTAGGCCTCGGGGAAGACCCAGGACACGCTGGAGGGACTTTGTCTTTCGGCTGGCCAGGGAATGCCTCAGGATCCCCCCCCAGAGGAGCTGGAGGAAGTGTCTGGGGAGAGGTCAGTCTGAGGTTCTCTCCTAAGACTGCTGCCCCCACAACCCAGCCCCAGAACAGTGGCAGAAAATCAATGAATAAATTAATGAATTAAATTTTCTATTAATTTTATTTGTTTTACACCCCTACCCCAACCCAACTGTTACAGTAATGTGAAAACAGATCTGGATCTGGAGTCTTCTCTATTTGGATAGCAGATTAACTATGTTGATGGATGATAACAGCCTTTTGAGCCAAACAGTAGGCGTTTTCCAGCCTTGAAATTTCAAGAATTTTGCAACCCTACATGGGAAGAGATCTGCACATACTCGTCTTCATCTCGCTCTCTCTTGAGCGGTTTCTCGTGTTTGACGGTGTGATGATTGTCTGTGTCCTCTTCCACTTTAATTGATGAAGGGCTGAAACAAGACATGCACTTTGTATTAAACAGATGATAAAATTTTACAGATCCTGTCAATCATTTTCCTGAAGTAAATGTAAAAAATTAAAGTGAATGTCTCCATATTTAATTAATGACGTCTTTTAAAATATAAACTGTATAGACTTTTCTAAGCCTTTAGAATTGACTTTTGGAAGCAGGAGGCAGATGAGTTCCTCATGTTACTCAGTATTTCCTCATTCTGACCACCAGTGTTGGGGGTAATATGAGCTATATAATCAGGTTTCTTTACTCAGATCAGATTACTTTACGTTACTAGTAAAGTGACTTTTTAATCTCTGATAAAATATCAAAGTTACTCTTTCACAAAAGTCACACCAGTTACTTTGTTTTCCCATTAGTTGAAAGCTCTTCTGTCCCCATGTTGGGAGAAATCGAAAATATGTTAGATACAATTTGTGTAAACATTCTAGCTTAAACGTGAACACATGTTTATTCATCTCACTTTGTGTCCTTAAAATGATAATAAAAAGAATGTGGGATGTTCATAGCTGAGGAGAGATTTTTCATGCAGCCTATGTGCAGTGAAGTCCAGAAAGGTGTGTTCGAGCTGCGCCTCAACTCCACAGATGTCAACATTTTCATCAGTATGATGTTTTTTGCTTCACAATTCTCTCTGGTTGTAAAAGGGCTTTAAAT